ATATAAAAAATTAAAAAAAAATTTAACTGCAATCATTGCATTTTCAATTTTAGCTCTTTTTTGGTACCATCAAAAGGTATTCTTGAACATAAATAATATTTATATATCTATCTTTTGCGTTAACAAATTTTATTTTTAGACAAATAATACTACCATTAGTAACTTAATCAAAACAATTAATGCCAAGATTTTCGAAAAAGTATGTTTCAAAGTTTTCATACAAAAAAATAATAAATGCATTAATAAATGACATACTGTTTATAATTCTAGTATAACCTTTGGAAAAATGCGAAATTTTTTGAAACCGAAAATAATGCATTAAAAGTAGAAAACTATGCACTAAAATCCGAATTAAGCACTTTGAAAATACAATACATTGATTTGGAAAAGGAAATTACCAATTTAAAAGAAAAGAACACCACTTCCAACAAAAGAAAAACATTCCTTGAATTACAAGGAACCAAATTCAAATATACAATTAAAACCCTCGAAGACACGATCAAAGGCTTTGAAGCTACTATTAAAGACCTCAGAAATAATGAACTAAATCTCAAAGCGCAACACAAAGAACTTTTAAGGGAATTAACTTTGTTAAAAAACAAAAACGAAGAAGCTGAAAATAGAAAAAAACAATTAGAAAATCAAATCAGCAAGATAATTGAAGATCGCGATCAGTTAATAAATACAATAAATGAATTACGAAAAAAGGGAAAAGAATTAAAAAATAAATACGAAAAGAAGAAGCAAGAAATTCAAAATAAATTAGATGAATTGGAGGCAGAAAGAATAAATAAAATAGTCGAAAATTCAAAAGGAGGATGTAATTAATTCAATGATTAGATATTATAATGTAGCTGGTTTATATTTTTTTTTTTAAAATTTTGTTTTTTTTGTTGATTAATATAATAACATTCAAATAAAGTTTACTGTTCAAATCTCAAACTCATGAATAAACTAATATCTTATAAACTTTATTAAGCTTTAAAACAAGTGATATTAATAATGCTCACGAGCGTCATTTCGAAAATTTTCATCAGAAAAAAATGCAATATTTGGTTCGAAATAACGCGCATGCGCTAGTTTGAAAAAAGCTTAAAAATCACTTATTGCTTTATTAAAAAATGAAGCTTCTTCAACAAACATCAAACGATAAAGTCATAATCCTTTTATAACAATGATGTAATTTTGGCATCTAAATTAAATCGAATTAAATCGTTTTAGTCTATTCCTAATATTAAGTTGTCATGTATTATATAATAAATTCAATGTTTTTAGTTCGTGTGTAGTTTAAATCATTTAAATCAATATTATAAATTCAAGGTTTTTAGTTCGTGTGTAGTTTAACGATAACAATAAAAAATATTATTGGTATGATCTGCAAAGTGGCCAATCATAATGTGATATTCAATTCTCCAATCATGAGAAATCTTCCTATATCCCACTGATCGCATCGATTGACCAATTACAAGATCAGGTATAATGTGAAAATCACCCGTTTTTTAAGAAACCGCACTAGATTAGTGATGCCTGACAAAACCATGTGATGCTAATTGTCACGTGGTACAATATATAAAAATCAACAGTTTTTTTTATAAATAATAGCATGTGACAATTAGCATCACATGGTTTCGTCAGGCATCACTACACTAGATCCCTTATTTTCAAGTAAAAATCTTAATATGGGCTATGATTAAAGCATAGATTATTATAATTTATTAACTTTAGAGTTAGGTCACTTGGTTTGATTTTTGGCTGTCAGGATTTTTATTTGAATTATGACCTGTTGGGATTTTGCTTGTGACCAAACCTCGTGAAAACATCAATGCGGAGCAAGATTATATTATAAGACAAATATAATTCAATATTTACATCAATTTTTAAATAAAAGGTTTTAACCACTAATAATACTGTAATATGGCCATTTCGAGTTGATTAGTTTGTTAACACACCACTTCAGGCGCTATATGCCACAGACAGAGTTGGCAATGGACCTCAATGGTTACACAAATAAACTAGTTTTTATTGGTTCCATTCACAGGTCCATTGGTCTATTCACAGGTCCATTGGGTCCATTCGCAAGTCCATTGAATTATCATTGAGCCAAAGTCGATATTTTGGATTTAATCAAGCACATATTTAATCAAATATCATTGGTCCACCTTAATCACATGATGATGTTCATACTACGTTGTAAGAGATTAGGAAGTTAAGCTTTTTATTCAAAACTAACATTCCAGAAAACATTAACATA